TTAAATCGTGAACATTTTCGTACGATTATTTTCAACATTCGACGTGGATTAACTCAGCAACAGTGCATGGATGAACTTAATTCAATTTTTGGCGATGAAGCTCCATCAAAGAACCAGTGTTTTATGGTGAATTCAATCGTGGTGGCAGTTTCCACTCCAAGACGAATGTGCGAAGGTCGTTCAAAATCAGGTTGTTCCGAAAACCATTGATGCTGTGGCGTGAACTGATATTGCAAGATCGTCATGGGTGACCTATCGTGAGATTGAGACAACCTTAGGCATTATTGGGATCAGCATACATTCAATATTGCATGAACATTTGACTGTCAAAAAAAAATTGTTCGCGTTGGATCCCACACAATTTGTCAATCGCTCAAAAAAAGGCTCATGTCGATTGGTCGAAAGAAATGCTCAAAAATACGATCGGGGGGTGTTTTGAAACACATCTATGACATCATGGCAGGTGATGAATTGTGGATTTACGCTATGAGCCCGAAAGTAAACAGCAGTCGACTGTATGGGTGTTTCAAGGAGAGAAAATCCAACAAAGTTGTCGCGCACGAAGCACTTCCAAACAGATGGCGCCTGTTTTTTGGGAAAAAACTGGAAATGTCGCAGCCGTACCATTAGAACGCAGAACAGTCAATTCTGATGATACACAACGATTTGTTTGCCGCAGCTGTCTTCCAAGAAATTAGGAAAACCAACCACGAAGACGGATCACTTCTTCACCACGACAATGCGAGCTCTCACACACCGGCTCGAACAACTGCATTTTTGAGCACCCAAAATATCGATTGATGAGTCATCCGCCGTATGGTCCTGACTTGGCAGCGAATGACTTCTTTTTATTCCCGTACGTTAAAACAAACTGAGAGGTCAACGTTTTTCGACACCTGAAGAAGCGGTTGCTCCATTCAGAATGCATGTTTTGGAGATACCTCAATCAGTAGCAAAAGTGCTACGAAAATTGGTTCAAACGCATACAAAAGTGTATAGATGTTCATGGTGGATATTTTAAAAAACAATAAAGTGATTTTTAATGATTAATATTTGTTTTCGTTCTCTAATTCTAAAATATAAAAGGCAACCCTCGTTTCATCTTCAACATTGCAATGTATGAACTAAATTAATGAAGGTGATCATTTGATATCGCTTTGGATATATCATAACATGTAAGTTCCTACTTCTGCATAATACGAACCTTAAAGAAGACTTAATTAATGATAGTGTTGTGGGATCTGACCGGAACATTGACAGTGCAGGCAGAGAATTAGAAGTACCGACAAATAATAAGAGTCTAATGATGTCACACATTTTTGTTTGGGGGAATTAGTACAAGAACAGTTTGATGAAAGGTAAAAATAAATTTTAAATTCTTGTAAAGGTTAGTACCAGCTTTTGAACATGCTGATGTTGTTATGCCTGCTTCATGTTAAACTCTCTGATGGAAGGCTCTTATGGCTAGTGCTGGAAAAAAAGATTGCAGACTTACTTGTTCATTAAAGAAAAAAATCAGAGCAGATGCCCCACTCAAGTTCATAAGTTTGCGTCATGCTGATAAATTGAAATACTTTTTTAGGTCCAGTTAATTTAGTCACACGTTTTCCTGCTGTGACGCCATTTTACGAGATCCCGTTATGAAAACATGCTGTAGTCCCATGCAGTGATAAAAAACAAGAATGCTGTGTAGCAAGGCTGCAGACTACTCGTGAACCTATTTCTGCGTTCGTTGACCGTAAATGAACTTCTCTGCAAAAATGACCTACTTCAAAAACAGGTTAATGCAGTCTGAACAGGATCTAAAAATAACTTTCATCCTTCTTATTGGTTTTACGAAACGTATAGTAGAGATAATGTTCTTCAGACAAAATTGTTTGTACATTTTCGATTTTTTTGTCGTAAAACCTGAAAGTATTATTGAATCATTAAATAAGAATAACAGGAGAACGTATGCCCACCACGACCCATTTCGTACATTAAATATATTAGTTTTATGAAAAACGAAGTTTTAAGAAGAACTTCGGTACTTATGCTATTACAGAACATATCGAGTATGTGGCTTTTCCGCGTATGGCATACGTGCGAGAAATTAACAAAAATATAATGGATATTTTGCTTTTATTCGTATCTTGACCAGTGCATTTTCTCCGTATTCGATTAAGAAACAAAATCGCGTTTTTCTAACACTTTGAGTTTCAGGAATCAATTCTTGCAAATCGAACAATTAAGATTGATCCAATGAAGAGAAGGTCTGTAGGCGGGTATGTTGCTTCTGAAAGTTGTTCGCATTGTGTCACTTCTTAGAACAGCTATCCCTTCGTTGGTGAGGAGTGAGTTGCGCGCGCTCGAGTGTCGCTTCAGGGGGTGAAAGGGCGTGCGTGTGCGCAGGGCGCGGTGGAGCAGCCCATGGAGAGCCGCCGGTGGCCAGCTTGGACGTGGAGATAGGCACCCTCGGCGTTGCGGCCCTGCGGCGTGCAGCGGAAGACGCTCGCCCTCACCCTCAACGGTAAGGCTCACGCGGGCACGGACGCACTTCAGCACTACTTCATGTCATTAATTGATTGATCGATTGTGATTTCAGGCGCGTCAACTGATGAAATCATTAGACTTGCAATTGTAATGCATTTCTTATTGCGGACGTAGGCGGTGATGTTCTCTAAAATCCATCGCAACCTACACGTTGTCTTGCGACGTTTTCTCCAACTAGGTATCTCCCACCAGTTCTGGAACAAGCTCAAAGGTTCCGAATGGTTACTCGACATGTATAGTAGTGTAGTGAATGAAAGTGCGTATTAGTAAGGGGTAAAGATAGAACAGAGAATATTAAAGAAAGACTGCGCGTGGCCTGTTTGCTAGAGAACACCTCTGGTGTTGACTGCTGTTGACCGGAGAAACCACGGAAAACTACCTATCAGAAGAGCCAACCATTAAAATTCTCCTCCAGACAGCGGCTGTATTCGATGTAGCAATGTATCTGCTGTTGAAATTCCTGTCACTCACCGTCGGAACATGAACTCCGGTACCTCCCTATCAGAGACACTGCAGTGACAATCTTGATGAATTGATACCATGAGCCATAGAATGCATGAATTGTGACCAGACTTCTATATTTTCTTTTCTATTTTTCTTTTACATTTTCTTCCTTTTTTATCTTATCTTCTTCATTCTTCTCCTCCTCTTTCCTCTCCTCCTCCTCCTTCTTCTTCTTCTTCTTCTTCTTATTCATCTTCGTCTTTTCCTCTTTCCTTTTAGAAAAAGAAAGAACATAAAGACAAGTACAAGTATAATACAGCAATCAGTGAATTGCTTTTAAAACGCTAAAATCTCGCCTGAAATGGTAACGGACTTTAACTGATGGTGCTACAAATGGCTACAAATGGCAAATGACATTCTCGTATTAGTTTTCTATTTTCTTTGGTCTGGGCTAGCTATTCGGACTTGTCTCATTCTCTTGCATGCTGCCATCTGCTGCCGCCGAAAGTACATTTAAATTTGTTTTTTTCTATTCCTCGGTTTCCTAATAGCATATTCGAAATATTTATTTACGAATATTAAAGAGTAAAAGATTGTCCTAAATGGCAATTTTCATTGAAAACTTTGAAGCCGTTTTTAAGAAAAAAGTGCTTAAGCATTACTGTAAATGGGAAAATAGACGCTATTTTTAGCAGAAATTTTGAGATTTTGAAAAAAACTTCATTTGAGGTAATTTGAAGTACTTTCACTCACAAACGCTTTAGTTTTTACAAATGAAATATGCACATTAACGGCGTGAAATATTTTCGAAAACTACGTTTGTGTAATTTTTGAGAAAACAGAAGAAAAATCCAAAATGAACTTTATGACATATTAAATAGTGCAATTAGCACTAACCGTAGGAAAAGTTAGAATAACAAATGTTGAGCAATTTTTCTGAGACTTGGGTTTAAGCGTTTCTAAAAATACGATATTTTGAGCTCAGTTGCGTTTTCGAGAAACTTTATATGACATCATTTAAAACATCTGTATTCGTAAATGCAATAATGTGAAAAATATTAAAGAGGCAGAGGCTAGTAAAAAAACTTAATTTTTTGTAATTTCCGAAAAAAACAAACAATAAAGCAATATTGCGTTTGTATCATCTTATAGAGTACATTTAGTACTATTTCTAAAAAAAAGTTTAAAGAAAAATTTGGAGCCGTTTTTGAAAAAAAATTGTTTTTCATATTTTTTAAAATTTGGTTTTTCAATATATCAAAAGTTCGATTCCGGCCAGGTGCACAAATGTTTCTTCAATTAGAAAATAATTCTACGTATGGTTTAACGATATTACGCATCGGATGGTCAGTTGCAGACGTTTTGCCGTCAGTTGCTTTTTTTGGTATCAAGCATAACAAAACAAAACACAAAACAGGGATTCTGGCTACACCACGTATTAGAGGATACTTTTATTAATTAAATTTACTAATTTATCCACTTTTTGTTATAAGGGCTCTGCAATGAATTTTTTCTGCCGACATTTCGCCGTTTTTTCGCACATTACATAACTTTGTCTGTACTATGTATATACTCCGTAGATACGCACGTTTCCGAGAAATTAAAAAAAACATTGAACCCAAAAGAAAAATGTTTGCTGCTCCGAGCAAATGCTGCGTTTTCTCCGAGCAAATCCTGGCGATTGTCGGAATAGAGTCCCATACAGATCGGCCACGGACCGCGCGCTAAATTACCTTAGCCTTTCACACTCATACACACACCATCATGCACTCACTATCACATGTGTCGGGAGACCAGTCAGGCGCTTAGAACGTGTTCCGACTGGGGCAGGGAGACATTTTGAGTGGGAAAACTCTAAAGGGAGACGTGGAGGTCGTTGTCGGATCTCACAACCCAGCAGGGAGGAATCCTCCACCTACTGATATAAAACGTCCACTTCACTCACGGGTTTAAAGCCCATGATGATTTTGTGCGCAGGGTCCCCGCCGGACGGGCTAGCGGCACCCTCTCCGGGCCCCGCGCAGGCGCCGCGCAACTACGTGACGCTGCCGGGCCTGGGCCACTTCCGCGCGCCGTCGGTGGCGCTGGACTGGCTGGCGGCGCGCGACCTCTGCCGCACGGAGCGCGCGCAGCTGGCGGTGCCCGCGTCGCAGCGCGAGGTGGAGGTGGTGCTGGCGCACTTCGCGCTCAACGCGTCGGGCGCCACGCACCTCGAGTACGTGTGGCACGGCACCAACGACTTCGCGCAGGAGGGCAAGTGGGTCACGGACGACGGTGAGTCCCGCCCAGGCAAATGAATGCAGGCGTGGTTTCACTTTAGTACTCTAAACGTACAATATTACGGACAAGAATTGACTACATCCACAGTACAACAGCTCTAAAGGTTACATACAATACGTTTCTAAGAGGGATCAGTAGTAAATCACTCCCGCATTACAATAAAATATTTCTATTGAAGAATTCGTAAAATGAGTCCTTTACACTATAAAATTGCTCATACCTGAAAATTGAAAATTATTTTTATAAAAATATGAAAAGAAGCAAATATGTAATGATGGACAAAAAATAATCAGTTTTTAAGATAACCCTGACGAAGCTCAAAAACACCGATGCAACTGTTTTTGTATCAAGGAATAAATATTAATATTATTAGTTGATTAGTTATGTCAAAATAGCGTTACTTGCCATTTCTGAAAAAAAATAGTTTTTGAAAATTGCTATTGGCGATTTCAAAATATCTGCGAATTTGAAATACTTTTGTTTCACACTAAAATTTTTTTTAATAATTTGAAGTCAAGAACTGCCGAAATTTTGAAAATGATCTTTTTGCACCATATTATTTAATTATACAAAGTAAACTCTAATTTGTATTTATAAAAAAATATTTTACATACAAATTTGCATTTTTTTATTGCATTTCAGATGTGCTCTTGGAGAACACAGGTTTCTCAAAATTTCATCCTGGACAGCCTAGCGGAGGGAACGCAGAGAACTGCCTAGTGCTGGTAAAAAGTAGCAAACTCCTAGCTGATGCTCCTTGTTCGTGGAGACTTCCATACATCTGTAAAGCGGCTCTCTAACTTGATAGCCATTATTATGCAACATTTCGCGCCTACGAACCAATAATTAAGTTAAAACGTCATTGTTTTAAAAGTGATACATACATTGAACTGCTTCAATTGAAGCTCCTGTGCCCTTTGTTCGAAGTGATAACTTTGATATGTAATTAAAGATAAGTGATGAATGTTCTCAGAAAAGGTATGAATGTACAATAACAAATATTGCATTCTAAGACAAGTTAGCTCGCTGTCAATGTTCAATAATTCTGGAGGATGCTCCCAAGTCGTAGAAGTCATGAACACTATAATACGTTTGGTATAATTTTTTTCGTTCCAATAAATTTCACTCAATGACTGGAATTGTTCATCCCAGCCACTCAATTTGAAAACAATATGCGTCAATAGTGGCATCTAACGTTGCCGACAAGTATGTAAGTTTAGTTATTGTTGGTATCGTAAAGGAAGTAAATGAGAAAGACGCCCCTCAGGTTTACTTCCCATCAAGATGATAAATGTAATAACAGAGAAAAATCACAGAATGTTTTTTACTTTATTTATTATCATGTAAAAATAATTTGCAGTTGTTCCTATTACGCTCAGTATTCGTAATATTGAGCAGGTGGTGCTTCTACAAGGGTTAAAATATTCTAAAACGGAAGAAAATTAAACTAAAATGTGTGTCCTCAATATTCAATATTGAGTCTACTGAAGAGGAGGAAGTCTGATGTGCCAACCTCGGGACAATTTCACGAAACAATTAAAGCATTTTATTTATATTAAATTGTGTTTTTTTACTCTCATTTTAACATTTTTATGTTTTAAAACTATATTTTTTTTATGTTCATTTGAAACTTATTTTATGGAAGAGTAAAGGTGATATTGTCATTTCATATTTTTGTATCTCATGTATAAAGTATAAAGTATGTAATGCTGCAAATATCATTTTCGATATTTTGTCGTAAATACGTTTAGGTATACTTCATAAAGTGTTTTCAAAAAGTATGTTTTCCTATTATGTACTATTTCTGTTCTTAGATGACTAGAGCTCGTTTTATGACGAACTTTGTGATCCAGTGTCATACATTTTTGCCATGTTTACAAGTCAACATGCAGCAACTTTTGCAAGCCTAGCATTAAGTTAAAATCAAATATTGGTCATCGTTTCAGTAAACATTTTGTTCTATTGAGACGATCCGCGGGTAGAGATGGTAAACAGCACCCACAGCAAAATTCTAAAATGCTGAGCGAGGTGAATCCCACATTAAATAAATACCACCGGAAGAAGACATTCTCCTTCAATGAAAACGGTTCGTTGCAAAATGCTATGTTAGCAGATATATAGGCAACAGTGTTAGATGCACACCATTGGTCGACCTTTTATTCTCTCGATTTAAATGCACACCATATGGATTTTCGATCAGGTGGTCCGCGATTATTCAATGGGGAGCTTTATTATGAAAGAAAATTAAGTTTTATCAAAGCTCCGAATTGGATAATTGCGATCCAGTTGATCCTACACCATGACACAATTCACAATGCATGATCAGGCTAGGTGACATAATAACTGGCTTATCTCTAATGTAGACCATATCCGCAAAGATTAAATCAGCGATATCGTGTCGTTCAAGATTCAACTATTTTTGTTTCTTGGTACGTAAAAAAGAATAAGGAAAGTAATGTAATGATGCAGAAATAACTGTTGGATTCTTGCCTATTTATGTCAAAACTGCAAAAATATGGAAAATTGAATAAGTTCAATTTAACAAAACAAATGTAACAAAACAAAATTATTAACAAAAGTATTGTTTGAAAAGTAGGCAAACCTTGCCCACTTTTGTTAGCATGCCTCTGCGTTTAAAATGTTATTTGTAACATTCTGTATTCGAAAATCACTAAGAATTTTTTCGATCATGTTAGGTTTAGAAGATAATGAAAATAATGGATGCCATCTGTTTCTTATTGTCTTAAATACCAATATATCCTGCTTTGATAAAAATATTACATTATACATTGAACAATATTACAAATGTTACATGTAATCTACTTTATCTAACTAGAACATGTATTAGTTCGTGTTCAGTGCCGACCTTGTGATCTTCATCCATGTCTGGGGACAATGTTTCGTTCATCAGAATAAATACTCCATTCGTTCCATCAACCTTATACTGGATACAGTTCTTAAACTGAATAAACATTTTAAACATCATCTGACAATATTAGCAACTGCTCACAATACATTTTGAGGTTATTCAAGTTTTTAAAATTGTATGCACGTTAATGAAAATACACGATGTCGCATGCTCTTTGTTGTTTAAAATACCTACAGATACTACTTTATTTAAGTTACATTTGTCAATTTCCAGTTTAGAAATAACAAAAACTAGTTTAAAAGATTGTGCCGTGTACTAACTGACTGCTTTCTACTCGTAAAACACGTACTGTAAACTCGGACTACTTGGACCCAATTTCTAAATACTTTCAGAGTTTTTCTTTTACTAATCCTTGAAAAAAAAAGTTTCCATAAATCTACACTTTTATTGTGAAGTGCTCGAGGGTAGTTTGATAAGAAACGTTTAACTTAAATCGCAAATAACTCTTCTGAAAATTGGTTTAAAGCTACGCTGCTGTGTGGGCTACATGAACCCACACGATATTTTCGGGCATAAAACCACTGAAATTTCCACTGGGTCCATGTGTTTCTAGGTTTTCTTGTACAAACATGAATGTAAATATACTACAAACACGAAGATACTTCAAAAGCTAAAATAATTTGTTTATTATTTAATTTTTTATTGGCCACTGTGAATGCCTAAAAATAATTTCACCCATTCTCGCCCTGATAGAGTATCTTCGAAGCTCAGTAACAGCTCTGACACTCATAGATAAGACTTTACAATAAATCTGAAATCGAGTTCGTCAACAGGATATATCAAAATTACTAATTTGGTTACGGCGCCTTGCAAAGACTAATTTTTCGTCTTCAGTGAAAATATTTGGATGGTCCGTTTCTGAATGGATTCAGTCCCCTTTTTAAAGTCGAACGCCAAATAAGTCGATCGACGATAAAGGAAGCTTCAGCTTGTCTTTCTGACATTATTCCCGTCATTTGCTACTTGGTCCTTACAATCCGCATATTTCCGACTTAAGGAAATCTCTTGTCCTTGTGGACTATAACGGCCAGATTACTGTAAAAGAAAGAGAAAATCACTATTGTTGAAGTTTTAAATATCGAAATAAAACTATTAACGTATTAAAAATATTTAAAAAAAGTTTCGGCCTCACTGGCCTCACTGTGCGCCTGGGTCCTAGTAGCCCGGATTTTGATTTTATGTGCCCACAATTAGAAAATCTGAAAAAAGGGGGAAAGCGTTCTACTATTGACGAAGTTGTCAGCCGTTGTATTAATAAATATATCACTACCAAAATGTGAACTGATTCCTTGATCAACTGTCTTGAAATCTAGCGTAGAGATAAAAGTATGCTGGGCTCACATTCGGCCAATTTAGACCCCAGACACTTAATAGAGTGCTATGACTTACAGGTGTACCACTTAATTTTGGTAAACGCGTTTAATGCTGCACTGTGTTGCACGGAAGCAACTGCAAACTAACCAGACATAAACTTCAAGTGCACTTCAAAACTAAAGCCTTTTCGGTCTTCGCCGTATCACAGAGTTCTGCTGCCACATTAGAGGTATGTGATTTTATTTTGCCATAAGACGACGGACGAAAAATTCTAAAGGTTCCCTAGTTTATATTTTGCATATAAATCTGTTTTTGACATGTAAATAAAACTTTGAACAGTAGAGGGTTAATAACTTCCAAATGAATTTCATAAATATAAAAACCAACAGTCAGTTGTTAAAATTTAGGTACACCAAAAAGTGCTGTGAATTAATTGGATGTACTTGTTATTAAAATGATGTTATAGGATGTTAAAAAATATATTATAATTTATGAAAGATAAATGCTTTCCCACATTCACTATGAACTTTCTAACTTAAGAAATGAAAATTGAAAGGTTTCATACTTTCAATAACTTTATTATCTATAAATAAAAGTAATTTTATTTATAGATTCATAAATAAATGTATGAAGAAAATTACATAAAATCCAGTTGTGACTACTTCTTACGGTACATTATTTATTGAACTCGCACCACCAGCTAACCATTACCAAACCACATGCTTTCTAACTACCATACACAATATTTATTTTCAGGCAAATATTGAGAGTACATTCACATAGACACAAACACAAAGGGAACATGAGATAAAGATAAAAATATTTGCTAAATATCAATTGATACCATAGTCCCCACCCTCCCAACCAAAAAAAAACTTGAATTTTAGCAGTTTTCTCTAGTTTTAATGCTGCACATTACATTCTTTCTCCACTCCCTATATGTACAAAGAAGTCACTATTTGAAAGCCATCTGGTTGTTTTTATCTGAATTTAGAAAAATAAGTTGCTGTTGTTAAAGATTGGAAGTATAAAAATGTACCTACATTTATCTCGTTTCATAAATGTTTTTTGAAAATTACATTCTGATGTAACAGTTATTAAAGCTTTTCTACCAATCCTGATAGTATATAACGCTTGAGAAACCTCTAATCGTACAAATACGAATAATGATAATAATAATAGTAGTAAAAAAATGCATTTCAATAAGCCAAGAACAGCTTAATAATAATATGCATTCACTATTTCACCTGGAATACAACCAATCACTTGTTTGTGTTGGAAAAATATGAATTTACAACTGGCAACTCTTCACCTGAGAAGAATAAAATTTGTCAAATATTTTTCAACCCAATTTCACAAACAACCATACTCCTACTAATTAGAAAACATCATAGGGTCCTGGAATGGAAACGCCGAGGGGAACTTCTTCATCATAAGAAACATCCTGAATATTTATTAATACTGCAATCTCTGAAGCCTCCTTTCTTATTTCCACTCTACACTCTTCTATTTTCTTTGTAGTATGAGCCACATAATTATCCCAAAAAGCAGTGTTCAAAATAAATGAATATGTTATAATAGTAACTTTTATCCCGCCTCAGGCATGGATGTATTTGTGATCGCCCCTTCACCTTTCGTCATAATCCTATCACTTCATTAAAGAAGGATGAATAATTATTAATATAACGAGCAGGAGGCTCTTGCCCTTAACGGGATATGCAGGCGGCTAATGAAAAAAATGTTGAAACAACTACTATCGTGACTGTATTGTATAGTAGTGTGACGTAGTGAAATAAGAAATAAATTTCAATAACAAAATAAAAATAATATATTCAAAGATTATGTTATTACGACTTACAATGAATTGCTAAATATTGAGTAAAACCACATCCGGACAACCTTTATATCCTTCGGAACACTGCTTGTACACGCAAGAAAGTTAATATCCATTTCCACTTGCGTTGATGCGCGCCGTGCCCGACGCTCTGATCCCGTGACAATTACCGTCACATTGCCGACCAAAACGTACAGTGTTCCTAAGTTATAACCACGGTCGTGGCGACCGTGTGCCATACAGCACGTGAGATTGTACTGCCCTTTACTCTCCGGACATACTCGCCCGTCACTCCAACACCCTCCTCTGTATGCATACACGTACAAGCTACCCAGATGCCAACTGTGTGCAAACCGAATGAAACGCGGGCGCAGATACGCCGCAGGATTAAATAGTTGAGGGCTGACACCCCCCACCACTGTTCCATAGATAGGCCCGCCG